CTTCAGTTTCTATCAGCCCAGCCAGCATGGCCATTGGGCAACAGTCAGGTATAGTGAGAGCTGCAGTCCAGCATCTGGAGACCACAATTTGGTATAGTCAATCTGTACTCTTTTAAAGGAGCTAAAGAAAGATGTAGAAAAAACAAGCTTCTGATTTAACTTTCCCCATGAATTATATGCAAGAAAAGCAAGGTAGAATGCCCCACTTTCAGAATAGGCCAGACATTTCACTTCACAGTGTCTTACGTACAATCGTAATTGAACATTCACAAACAAACATTTGAAGTATCAAACTCCACTTTAAAGTCTGCTCTAAGACACTCATTTTAAGAAATATTGGGGGGGGTTTACAAACACAGGTCATTGTTGGCAGGGCTTTCAGGATAAATTGAACAAAATATGTTCGCATAGCCACATCTAGCAAAATGGTCTTTATTATAGGCCACACGTCATACTGTGTTCTATTGTGATGGTATTCTAATAATATGGAGAATGTAAACTTTTGATACAGCAGTAAAACTCCACAGTTTTACAAAGACTAAAAAATGATATACTGCTACAGAAGCAGCCAGGTGCAATTGAAAGGTAATTGTTTTTATACCAGAAAATCATATTTGTAATTTACTCAGAGGAATCCATTAATGAGGTCATTATCAACAATGCACACCACTGCCAAAAAACTTGCTTAAATGAAAGCCATGAATCTTTCTAACAGCATTACTTGATCCTTAGAATTGAATGTGCCTGACTCCCACTCTCTCTTCTCATTATGGACTGGCAAGGATGAGCAAGATTTAACTGCAGAATCCTGCAATAACATTATCTAGGCTGCATCATTAGATACACCCAAGATAATACATAAACAGTTATTGAGGACAGTTCTGCCTCCTTAGTGTAAATTTGTTATACACAATGCTGAAAAATTGTATTAAAATGCTTAATTATAGGAGTGAGCTAGTAGCTATTTACGCATGCTGCAAAGCTGGTATGATCAGGTGAATTGAAATGCTGAGGACAAGAAGAATTCAGGTCAAGACTCTAGTACAGACTTAATGACCATTTCAAGCAGCATTTCTATTTGTGATCATGGGAACTGAACCTCATTTGCTGAGGTTTGGTCCACTGCAGTAGCTTAGTCATACTTCAGGCAAGAAAAGTACAATAGTACCTTGGGTTACAAACGCTTCAGGTTAAAAATGCTTCGGGTTACAAACTCCGCTAACCCAGAAGTAGTTGCTCCGGGTTGTGAACTTTGCCCCAGGATGAGAACGGAAATCACGAACCAGCAGCGCAGTGGCAGCGGGAGGCCCCACTAGCGAAAGCGCGCCTCAGGTTAAGAACAGTTTCGGGTTAAGAGCGGACCTCCAGAACGAATGAAGTTCGTAACCCAAGGTACTACTGTAATACCAGCCTGCGTTTTTCATAGGACAAACAATATGTGAAAGGTTAATGCTGTAGATGGAAAATAGGTCCTCTTTCTCAGTCTCAGATTAGATAGGCAAGTCAGGGGCATACCCAAATCCTCCCCCCAAAAATCTTCTTGTTTGTTACTTAAAACGTCCCTGCAGACATCATTTGGAAATGGTGGTCATGCTTTACTACTACTTTTGGCAATAATCCCGTGATTTACTCTCATGGGGATCAAAGAGTCCTCTGTTTAGCCATATATCATCATGCTTGTCAGATTTTTGTTCATTACATTCTTGTCGTGTGCGTGGGTTTTAAAACAAAGAGCGAATGAAACCTTCAACCCGCACTCTACTGAAATCTAAAATAGTAGGCTGCTTACTGTTATATGCAATAAAATCAGTAAGATCTACACGTACCTGATGGCACACTTTTCACACTTGAACAGTGCCTTAAATGGCTCAAGACCACAATACCTCAAGAACTGTCTCTGTCCATATGAACCTACGCAGACCCTAAGATCATCCCCTGAGACCCTCCTTTGTGTGCCTTCTACATGAGAGGCCTACAGGATGACAACACAAGAACAGCCCTGTTCTGCAGTGGCTCCCCATTTGTGTAATGCTCTCTCCAGGGAGGTTTGGCTGGCACCTTCATTATACACCTTTAGCAGCATTTATTTCTACAGAAAAGGCAGCAATTATGTAGATTATTTAATAAAGTCACTCACCAAATACCTTCCTTCCTTCCTTCCTTCCTTCTTTCTTTCTTTCTTTCTTTCTTTCTTTCTTTCTTTCTTTCTCCATCTGTCTGTTTGAGATTATCTGGAAAAGCTTAGGTGTCATGGGATAAGAGGACAGGTTCTCTTCTGGATCATTAACTGGTTAAAAAAAAACAGATAGCAGAAAGTAGGAATAAATGACTAGTTCTCTCACTGAAGGGATGCAAGAAGTGGCTTCCTCAAAGGAACAGTGTTGGTACAGGTGCTTTGTAACTTGTTCATACATGCAGTTTGGTGTTAGCAGTGAAGTGATCATGTTTGATGAGGACACCAAATTCTTCAGGGTGGTAAGAACAAAAAGGATCTCTCCAGATTGTAAGGCTGTGCAATAGTACAAAAGTAGACAAGGGCTGTTTAACGTTATTAGAACGATATTAGATATATCATTTTTAAATGCCACAGGGCATACTTGTAATTTAAATTGTTTTTCTTACCTTGTTGTTGGGTTTATTTCCATCAAAACGCTGCTGGTTGCTCTGCAACACCCTCTGGTGTCACATTTTAACAACACATTACAAACCTTAAAAGCAATACACCATTTGTGCCTCTTTGTTAACCACAACCCTTCCTTAACCCATACTTAACATTAAGTGGAAGCGTAGACCCTCCCAAGGACCGAATTGGATAATCAAAGGGCCCAGTGTGAGCAAGCAGCATCTTTGTGCGGCTGCAGTGACCCCAATGCCTGGCAGGGCCTACCAAGGAAGCCTATCCTCAGTTCCACTTTCCGGGTACACCAGAGAGCTTCTGACGCCAAATATTTTTCAAAAATGGATCAACTGGAATTTTAGAGCTTCCCCCATCTAAGTTAGCTTAATGAGCAGTTCATAACCTCAGTCTTGCAAAGGCTTCCTAAGAAAAATTCCATAAGTATTTAAAGCTTGGCTCAGTTAGGTGAACATTACTTAACCCTTTGTGTTTAATTGATTTATTACTAAAACAACATCCTTGGTTTTGTTATAGACTCTCAAATGTATATGTAAATGGTAATTTACAGCACTACAAGCAGTATGTTAAATGGAAATGTGTATAGCAGTAGACCAGTGGCTGGTTTAGGTAAGTGTCATACATTTGTAGTGTAGAAGCAGCAGTGGGGAATATAGCATTTAACCCTTTTTTTAATTACTGTTTTTCCACTTTAAGTCATCCCTTCTAGGAAATTGAGCTTTTCAAACTCCATTGCTGGGGGTGGGTGGGGTGATTAGAGTGAGGGAAAGTGCCCGTTTCTGACCCTTACTTTTCCTCATCTCAGTATTAGCAAGTTCTTGTTAAGTGGATTTATGTAGTGGGTAGTCTGGGCCTGATGTTCTCTGAGATATACAATAAAAGCCCAGCACGCTTTGTTTGTTCAAATATATACTGTTTATGTCTCACACCGAAAGCTAGAAGTGAAGCATATATTACGCAAAGGATAATGAGGCTTTGGCAATGAAAATCAGTGAGTGGGTGATTTATTTTATTTATTTTTATCTTTCTAAGTTTACAAAGCACCAACATTACTTTTTGTTGTTGTATCTAAGTAAACTTAAAAAGATATAAATGAACTGTGTTTTATCTGAATTTTCTTTCTGGGGTTTTCTGCATTTCTGTTAATCACTACAAAATTACATCCCATGAAGATTAAGGAACCTGTTTATTTTCTGATTATAATGAGAGGCAGGTGTTGTCTGTCTCTGAGGAGCAAGCATGCAGTTCGTTCTAAAAATAATGGAAGTGTGAGGCAGAGTTAGCAAAACATATTATTAAGCTTCCTGGCAAGGCAGTTCTTCATACTTGTAGTCAGTCGTTCTCTCCTCATCCCACACCCTGATAGAAGCTCAAGTATATGCCAGCTGAACATACACGTCTGAAACAAGTACTTCCTAAAGTAGTTTTGTGTAGTAATTTCGAGTATATATCTCAATTTATTTGAAAAACAGAAGGCTGATACTGTACATAGGGCTTCTGCTGAATTTTTAGTAGGGTTTGAACTGCATGATTCTTTGTTCATAAAAGTTAATATTTCTATTCACTGAAATTTGAAATTCATTCAATCATTGTTCCAACTCAGTCTTCATACACAAAAAAAGCATGAACAGTCTGCCTTGATAGGATTTAATGAAAAGAGAAACAACACAATGTATCTGTTAACATTTTAATGGATTTATAGTATGGATATCAGTGGATTTATAGTACAAACATTATTGTCTGCCCTCCTCCCTTTTCCCCATGTGCTTTCTCTTAAAAACCCAAAGCACTGACATTAAGAGCCAAATTATACTTTAGTGATAATAGTCCTGGTGTTGGTAACCTCAGTACTTTTATATTTGTTGGAAGCCAGTCCGAGTAATAATAATAATAATAATAATACTATTATTATTTATTCCCCAGCCACTCTGGGCGGCTTCCAACAAAATATTAAAATACAATACTCTGTTAAACATTAAAAGCTTCCCTAAACAGAGCTGCCTTCAGAGGTCTTCTAAAAGTCTGGTAGTTGTTTTTCTCTTTGACATCATCATCATCATTACAAATTTTACATTTTCTTCATTTAAAATGTGTGTCCTTTCATTATCAGAAAAGTTTTAGAGCAATCCCATACTCAGAAGTAAGTTTCATTGTGAAGGCATCCCTTGAATAGCATTTCTATGCCTGGCATCAGCTGATTTGGATCCAGAAGCTTACCAGTTTTTTGTTCAATCACAAACTGGTTACAAATTAATATTTAACAATATTGTCATGGGCTTTATTTTTATCTTTGCAACCAACACCTTCTGTTCAGCAATTAAAATAACTGTCTGTATAATTAATGACAATTTTTATCTTTTATAAGGATCCTTCCCGACCATTGGGGTGCAGTCTCTTTGCCCAAGATTCCTGAGGGAAGGATTTTTAAATAACATTCCAGCCCCACATCCTCTGTCAGGGGGAGGATCTTTGCCCCCCAGGATTTCTTCTGGTAGGTATTCCATGTGAACATTCAAGCACTGGATAGGAAGATTTGGTTCTTGGGACCAAAATGAGGAATACAGTGCATTTATGTTACATGATACATATTTTGCTAAATAGATACTTGCTATTTCACTCTTGTTACAGATCAAACAAATAGCAATGGCATACCCTCCAACATTTTTGTCCCCAAAATTGGGGTGTCAATATTGTCATGCCAGAATGCCTTCCAGTCCAGCACTCTGGCGCAACCCTGTTGACGTGTGCCGGAGGGCGCATCTTCTGGTCTGACACTCTGGCTTGAGGACTCGCACCAGAGTGCCAGACAAAAAAAGGGACATTCTGTGATTCCGAGATGTCCTTCTTAAAATCGGGACAGTTGCGGGGTCTGCAGTGGAGAAGTTTATGTCACAGTGAGCAAAGTTTATAATTCATCAGAAATGCAGTAGAGCCCAAATAAGTATGACAAAACTAAAGATAACGTCAAAACAACAGTGAATCTGAAACGGTAAAAGGGGATAGCAGCTAGTAATTTAGATAAACACTTGAATATAATTTAGCATTGTGCAATCACAATGTGTATACAACATACTAATGATTTTCATATTGTTCAAAATAGCCGTGTTAAATTTGTTTGGAATCTGCTATAGTATTAAAATACTTTGTACAACCTTATACAACCCTCTGGTGTGCAGCCTACACCAGAATAAAACAAAATATAGTCAGAGCAGTTCAAATCATTACGTATTAATTTCTATGCAAGAAAGTATTGCTTTACTTTCTTTACTTTCAACCAGAATAGTATTAAAAGGAAATTTCCATATGCACCTGAGAGGTCATTACTCTTCCACAACATAAATGGATTATTCTTATGCTGTATAAACTGACAATTAAGAATAGATTGAATTAACAAATATTTCCTGGAAAAAATATTCCATAACTACCATAAGGGAGCAATTATTCATTCTGAAATTCAAGTACAATTTGCAATATTCTAATATAATTTTTTTTTTAGCCTGGATAAGGTTTTCTTCATCAAATCTGTTTATCCTCACTTTAAAATACCCGAATATGTATTTTTTTAAAAAACCAAAACATCATTAATTCATTCCCCTTGGTCATATTTACATAATAAAAATGCAGAATACAGCATTGTATATTTTAATAATAAATGTACATGACGGGGGGCATCTAGATGAAGTGCTTATTTTAGTTTCTTCCTTTGTAACTGTAGTAAAGACCATTTTAAAGTAAAGACAGCCATGCTGAGTCTACAAAAGTAATCCATGCACAACCATTGGTCTGCATACCTGGGCTGCTCATCAAATCTGTGCCCAGGTGTGCAGATGGGTACTGCAAGGAAGAAGAAACATTGTCACCTGGTGCCTCTTGCTGCATGAGGTGGTTGAGAACCACAGCACGCTCTCTGTCAAAAGGTGGCAGGCACTGTCAGTTCTGATACTGCTGACAACCTGTTTGCACTGTTTACGTCAGGAATCAGCAAACTTTTTCAGCAGGGGGCCAGTCCACTGTCCCTCAGACCTTGTGGTGGGCCAGACAAGTGGGGGGGGGTGAACGAATTCCTATGCCCCACAAATAACCCAGAGATGCATTTTAAATAAAAGGACACATTCTACTCATGTAAAAACACACTGATTCCCAGACCGTCCACAGGCCAGATTTAGAAGGTGATTGGGCCAGATCTGGCCCCCGGACCTTAGTTTGCCTACCCATGGTTTACATGGTTTAAAGCACTTCAGAGCCTGTGAAAAAAATTAACTTGACATTGTTACCGTGCACGTGTGCTCAGGTGTGGTCACACTAGCAGAAAGTAACCCTGAAATATACTCTTTCCTGCTTTATGTTTTCTGGGGCTACTGGAATGAATAACTGAAGCCAGGTTTAGCCAGATTTAATTTGGGGTTGAAAGGATGTTATTCTGCAATATCACTGGTCAAAGAGTTCCCTTTTATTTTCTTTCAGTAGCATGGAAACAATTGAAACATGGGGTACATGTCTCAGTATTTAATAAAGAACTGGGGCACATATTATCCTTGTCATGGAGATGCCATGAAAAGCTTACTTCTCATGGTGTCTGATCTCCTTCCCACTTTAATTTTTCAAGCATGTGGGTTGCATCCATTATGTTAGGGTCTCTCTGTGACCCTGAACCACAGTCTCAGAGGTCAGGAAATGACTTTTGGCATCATATCTGTTTCAAACAATGTGCATCCTGGGCATGTGTTGAAATATGTTCAAATGTAGCACTTTTAAGGTTCAATAATCTTGTTTTAATTATATCTTGGTAAAAGAAACTTTCATATTTGCCTGTTTTTAGTATTTTTGGGGGGGGAACACTCTGCTTATGCAGAATTGAACTCAGCTGTATTAGTTGGGAGAATTTATTTGGAGTGAAACAAAGCAATAAAGGCATATACATACTTCATATTTTTATTATGTGTCCATTTTGAAGATGTGCCTTAATAATCACTTTTACATAGAGGTAATATCTTATATTGGAGAAATAAAATAATACCAAAGGAAGGGCTACTAAATTTCCTCCTTAACAACATTCAAGTAGAGAATGACAGAAGAGAAGGAAAGAGGGTAGAATGGATTTTGTGATACACAGTAAAGAGATATGGCTAATGGCTGCACTTAAAACTGAACCAAGGGAGAAAAGATTGTGGTTTATGTTGTGAAATTGGTGGACTTGTGACATCTTGAAGTGGATTAAGAGTTTGGTCTGTTTCCTGCCCAGGGTAATTCATCCAAGTAAGTCCCATAGACAACAGAGGCAGAGAGCAGAAAGCTAGAGACTGTGTTTTCCATAGTAAGCATACAGATAGAACAGAGAAACATTCAGTCAGAAACATTCAGTAATGGTGAAAGCTCTGCAGCTGTTATAGTTGTACTCCACAAGAGTCATTTTCCTGTTTCTCTAAATTTTTGGTCAGTTACATATAAAAATCCTTGTTTGCTATAAATGTTCAACATTCATACTTGAGTAATGTACATAATTCAGCAAACATCAGTGTAAAGTATGGAACAGATCAGTCAAATGCCTGTTTCTGCTTAAAATGACTTTGAAAATATAGACTAGACAAAAAAAAAATTATTTCTGAGCATGAAGGTAACATAAATGTATTCACATAGCTGTGCAAAGCCTAAAGAGAATATCTACTTTCTTTCGAATGCCTACTGTGTTTCCAAACAAATAACGAGCTGTTCATACATTACAACAAGCCAGGCTCTAGCTTCTTTCATCTTTGGTACTGGAGCAGAAAAACCAGGGGAAGAGTGGAGCAAGACTATTTCAACAATGTGCACCAGCACCCTGCATGTTTGCAGTAAACTAGTTTGTTCTTAACTAGGGCTTAACACGATGTGCAAATCAAGCCACTGGGTGACTTTCAGTGACCAGTTCAGCATGAGGGAAATTTACCCATTTCTTCAATGTACTAAGATGCTGCGGTACAGATAACCATTGTTGCTATTGTATTGTTTTGTTGTCACTCTAGCCTAGTTACTTGTTTTTTTTATAATTATCCCAGTCAGTTGCCACTCCCCTCTCCCCTCTTTTTTTCCTTCCCCCCTTTTTTCTTCTTCTTCCTAATTGTTTAAACAAACTCATAAACCAAGAACTTATACATTGACCACTAATAATGAAACATATGTTGTAGATATCTTTCCAGATTTATTATGCTATTTCTGTAATATACAATGACATGAGAAAACTTGGTGTACTTGTTTGTATAACATTATTCTTGCTCATAACTCCCCCTCAAAAATACCCAATTAGGAAACAATTCAAACCTCTGCCACCAGCTGGTATGGCTTTAGGAGGCTGTGGGGCCACTGCCCCATGTGCAGCCCTGCCATGCACAGTGACTGTGACAGAAAATGACAGGATGAGTGGTGTTCTCAGGTCTGGATCAGGCCCAATGTGACGGCAATAGTACCAGCTTTGGATCCAACAGATCATAAACAGACTGCATCCCTGCTCCTTCTCACCTCTGGAACACCCAGTTTGGGGCCCTTCCACTGCCTGTCACTGGTAGCCATCTTGTTGACAGAACTTTTGCCCATCTGCACATTTGGCAGGCAGAAGCGGGAGCTCCATACCAGAGGGAATGCAGCTTCTCTCACTCTTGTCAGCGGCGCCTAGCAGGAAGCTGGCAGAGCTGGGCAAAAGGACACCTGTGCTCAGTCCAATCCCCGCAGCCCAGCACAAGAGGGAGGGAGGGTGGGTTGCTGTGTTAATGATTTATTATGAATGAATTTCTATACTGCATCATCAGACTTCAGGAGGCGTTACAGTTAAAGCTGTAGAATATCACACTGCAAAATTAAAAATATTTCCTTCTATTCCTATGGAGTGAAGATGGTGTTTCTACCTAGCAGTTGGTTCATTGTGATTTATAAGTTCGATTGCTTATATCGCATTGAATGTTTTATTATTTCTCACCTTGAGACTTCAGCATAGACAAAAAATAAATATCCTCCATACACTGCTGGAGTATGGTTTTTCATTTATGGAAAGAAAGGTTCATTTTTGTTTCGCAGTTAGTTTTATTTATTTATTTAAAGAGGCTCATAGTGATAAGGATAGTGTTCTCAAAGGTTTCAAGATACAGTCGTACCTTGGTTGCCGAACGCCTTGGAATGTTTCAGCTCCAGAGCGATTGAAAACCAGAAGTAAGTGTTCCGGTTTTCGAATGGTTTTTGGAAGCCGAACGTCCGGCGCGGCTTCTGTGGCTTCCGATTGGCTGCAGGACGCCCCTGCAGCCAATCGGAAGCCGTGTCTTGGTTTTCAAACAGTTCCGGAAGTCGAACGGACTCCCGGAATGCATTCTGTTCAAGAACCGAGGTACGACTGTATATATGTATTATTTCTAATAAAACATTTGCCTATCTTTTTTAGGTTTCTTTGCCTGTGAAAGTTAAAACTCTTTTTTGTGCACGACTGAAATTCTCTACACTTGTCTATGCACATTTATTACTTTGTTAAAATGTGTCTTGTTAGTTGTATGTGCATATTGTCCCTGTGATGTGACAATAGCTGTAAAAAGTATTAACCGTATGGTGTAAAAGCAAGATTAAGGGCATATTCACATGCAGCCTGTCATCACTCTGCAGATAATGGAGACTGATAAAAAGAATCTCTCTCAGAGAGAGAGAGAGAGAGAGAGAGAGAGAGAGAAAGAAAGAAAGAAAGAAAGAAAGAAAGAAAGAAAGAAAGAAAGAAAGATCTCACAAAACTACATGTATTTAAATCCTGGACTGCAAAATCTGAAAAAAGTGAAAAAAGACTACTGTACTTTAGCCATGAAACTTTGCAGCTTGGATGAATGACTTTGCCACTTAATATCACCAACTATGAATTACTAATACATGAAGCCGCCCAACAATGTGGAGAACATGTGGAAGCTTACCAATTGATAAAGGCCCTCAAACATCACCACCCTTAAAAATAGGTAGCAGAATAAGTTTGCGCTATGTATGTACTAACACAGAAGATCAAGCATCTACGTGTAGAAAATCCTATCATACTAATTTACACCTGAATTAAGAGTTATGCACATCAGAGCATAACCACTGTGATGAGGTCAGATTTTATTTTATTTTTTTTAACCGTGAGAGCTCCCACCTTTCAGGACAAGTGTCTTCAAAAAGCAGTGTACCAAAACAGCCATGTAACCTCATTTAGTTAGAGGAGACCCTCCAAGTTTCCCTATTTTCCAGGGACATCCCTGATTTAGAGAAGCCGTCCCAGTTTCTGATTTGATCCCGGAATGTCCCACTTTTCCTTAGGATGTCTCTATTTTCATCTAATTTAATATGTAACGCTGTACTGTTTTTAACACTGATTGGCAGCCGCCCAGAGTGGCTGGGGAAACTCAGCCAGATGACGCCCACTTCCTCCAATTCAAATCAATTTGATTTCCAAACATTGACTTTGGCTGGATTGTGTTTGTACAGCATAGTCCTGTGCAACTTTATTCAGAAGTACATTTGAGGGGCTTACTCCTTAGTACTTATGTTCAGGATTACCGCTGCGCAGCCCAGGACCTCCATATATAGTGCCCAGGCTTGCGCTCCAGGCAGGTTACTTTAGTGCTGCTAATGCAGCAGTTTGACTTCACCTCCAGAGGAGTACCTCATTGTCTCTCAAGACAAATGGATGCCAACAGCAGTCTAAAAGTATAAAATAAAAACCTGGTTTATTTTATAAACAGATGGTTTATATTGCATATATTAAAGGACAAGCATCTGCACATGGTGCTCTTATCTAGTTGTTCACTTTCTCTGAATCCCACAATAGAAATCGCATAAGCCCAGGTGGTAAGAGGGCCAGTAGGTTGTATTGTTAGCAGTTGCACTGACCAATTTATGAGAAGCAGTATTTTCATCCTTTGCTCTTTTAAGAAAATGAATAATTTAGATAGGCACATTACCGACATTACATTTTTGGATATTGGATGTGCCACCACAGGGTGTGCTATTCTATAAGGCCCTCGGGGGTAATTATTCAGGCAGATTTTTATTACAGTCATCCTGCCCATTGTTAAAAATGTTCATTTGCACTGGCATTCATTCTGTAGATTGCAGCTGTATCCCTGCTTTTTCAGGGTCCTCAAACACACAAAGAAAGTGTTAGTTCAATTCAAACTGCCCACTGATTGCATGCTGATCAACAGAGGAGACAGTGGGTACAAACCTATCCTCCCGCCCTCCAATGTGTGATGGAGGTTTATATTTATCTCAGGGGCTAAATATTCTGCTCTGATTCTGATTTCCCTCCTACCTCTTTAAGTCTCTACATGGTCTTTGTGTAAACAGGGAATTTATCTCCCTTTATTCTAATTGTAATGGAGTACAGATATATCTTTCTCCAGGTTAGAGTGAAGGTCAATGAACAGGAGCAGGTTTACACCACTTCAACCATTTGCCTGATGGTAGCCTGTTTACTTTCTTGTCTCATTTATTATAAAATATCATAATGGTTCACAATAATAATATGTTTATAGACAGCTGATCTTCCATGTAAGTCCACAGCTCCCGTTGAGTTCAGTTGGGCAAGCTGTTGTTATCTATGGGAGCAATGCCTGCCACCCAGCCTTTCTAGATAACAGCCTCTGTCCTGTAACCATGGAATGTAAACAGAATGTTTCCCTATGAACCGTTTAGGAAGCTCTGTAATATATTTGGCTCTCTGTGTGCTTTGCATGCTGTAAAGGCAGCCATTTTGCTGGCATAATACGATATCCTGTATTTCTAAATTAAAAGACAGCAGAATGTTCACTTGCAGATGTTCTCACAACTATTTCACTGACAAAACCCAATGTTACTGAAACAGATATGCCTCCTCACCAAGGATAGAAAATGGTGGGGGGCACGTGGGAAAATGTCATTTTGCTGTGCCACAAGGCTGCTGCAGGATACAGCAATGCCTGTGCCAGCCCAGCTCTGCCCTCTCTCTCACACACACCCCAAAAAATCCCTGTTTTGGGGCTTGTCTGCTGGCTACTGCTATTTGGGTTGGCACATAGGGCACTCACTAGAAGAGCTTCCTTGCCAACAGTGGAGCTCCCCTGGTGGCAGAGGACAAGCTGAGTGGAGGGATACTTCTGCCCTATCCAGCACTGCAGATAGGTGGTTTGAACTGGTCTGTCCTTTCATATTCACAATGTCTTAAATTATATTTGTCCGTTTCATTGCATGAATGTCCACTAGTTCCAACTGGGTGCCCATTTGTTCATCCATGAATTTCTGTCCAAAGAAAGTTTAACAGACAGAAATTGCCGAAAGTATTATAAAGCCATTTTGTTAGTCTTCAGGAGAGTTGCATCATGACTATTGTGTGCAGTTCTGATTATGCTATCTATCTGATTATGCTATGTTGGCAGGAGAAAGAATGAAAAATAATAACAGGCAAGATGTAGACAAGGTTCTTCTCAAGTACCTGTGTTTCTTTATTCCTTCTATCATTTTATCTGGTATTTGTTACAAATGGAACCAATACAGGCATTTGCACAAAATGTGTTTGTTGTTTTATTATATTCTTTCCTGTCTTGCATGCAAGATGATTCATTACAGTATTTCTGCATATATTATTCACGCCTTTGTATTATTAGCATTATCTAAATAACATCTGATGGAATACCCTGATTAGCATGCAAATTGGGTTATTTCTTCTAGGTAGTTTTAGAGTGATGGCTTACTCCTGAACACAAACAGTAAAAGGCTTGTCAAGTAAATACAGAAAGTAAATTAGTACTAGAATGACTTGGATGTTCTTGTCACAAACATCAAATGTTAATTATATATTCTAGTCTAAGGGAAAAGGGTCGTATTCATAGCTTAGTAACACCCCCTCTCCTCAGCACTTTTGTGAGTGCACAGGGTTGTTGTATCCACCAAGAATAACCTGGGCTATAAATAATAGATTCTGATTTCAGCCATTTAAATAAAAAATCCAAAAATATTATAATGCCTTTGGTAAATCCAGCAACATGACCAAGAAACTACTCAGAAATAATAGAACAATGAGATACATTTTTGCTACAGAGGAGGACTGGGAAATGAGCAACATATTTTACTAATGCAAATAATCTTTTCCTAACAGCTGGAACTATAACAAACCCTTAATATACCTATAATCCTAACACATTCCTTTGCTGTCTTTGCAGGCAGACCAGTAATGATTGTGGTTGAATACATGGAGAATGGATCCCTTGACTCCTTTCTACGGGTGAGGTGTTATTTCCACAAGAAATATGAATAAAAACCATTCTAAGTAAAGATTTTGAATCATTTATCACAAATTAATTTTTGCATAATGTTATTCATGGATTTTTAGTTGGAGAAGTATTTTCCCCAGGGTGCATTTCTTAGGTACAGTGATACATTAGAGCATAGCCAGAAAAGGAGAAGATTTAGACTTAAGAATATAATTGATTTCTTCTACAAGTTCAGTCCCCATATTTAGCAAAATGTATTTCAAATGGTGTTATTATGAACAAAAAGATAAATTGAAATGCAAATGCCTTTGCCATATGGCAGCTGTTCATTTTGCTCAGTCATTTAAAAATATTTCTTCGTTGAGTTTTGTTTTTGGCTTACGGAAGTATAGCACAGGTTTAGTAGCTGATTTATAATTATTTATGGCTAATTGCATTTAACAAATTGAATTAGGAACTACTGAAGTGGCTTGACTATAACGGTATTCCACTTAAGTTCAGTTGCTGGATCTAAATAAATGTCAAAAGCATGGATAGGGAATGGCACAGAGCAGCCCCAAGACATTTTGCTGTCTGAGGCGAGGGACAAGATGGTGCTGCTCTCCCACTTCACATACAGAAGCTGCCTGAACTGGCAGCTGAATCTTACTTCAACACTGGCAACAGGATGATGTCTTTCCCCACAGTTCAGGCAGCAGGTTAGTTTAAGAAGACCAGGACATGCCTTGGGACATATAAAGCTCCAACAGTGGGGAACTGCTGTGGGGCTCAGGAGAAACATTATAAGGCTAGATGGCACTGTGTGCTAACTGAGCAGTTTCCAGGTACTTCTGGATTCTTTGCTGTTGCTTGAGACTCAAGTGGCTTCAGTGGCACGGAGTGCCTTCCATCAGCTTCAGCTGGTGCCCCAGCTGGACAGGCACAGCCTAACAACTGTTGTCTATACTCTGGTAACCTCTAGGTTACATTACTGTAACGTGTTATAAGCAGGGCTGCCTGTGAAGACGATCCTGAAATTTGTGCTGGTGCAGCATTCGGCAGCCATATTGCTCACCATGGTAAGACGGTTCTGCCCTGGTCCTGTTCACTGATACTGGCCTGACTGCACTGGTAGCCAAATAGTTTCTAAGTCCAATTCAAAGTGCTGCTTTTGACCTATAAAGCCTTAAAAACGGCTCAGGGTGGCAATACCTCAAGGACTACCTCTCTCCATATGAACCTACACAGACCCTGAGCTCATCATCTGAGACCCTTCTTCGCATGCCTCCTCCACAAGAGGTCCAGAGGACGGCAACACGACAATAGGCATTTCTGCAGTGGCTCCCCCTTTGTGAATGCTCTCCCCGGGGAGGTTCAGCTGGCACCTTCATTATACACCTTTAGATGCCAGGAGAAAACATTACTTTTCAACCTGGCCTTTGGCTGACTAACATCTGATACTCTCTTTTAAAAAGTGTTGTGGGAGGGGGTATTATTGGTTTGGTTTTGCTCTTATTTTTCCTAGGTATTTTGTGTTTTTTATATTTTATTTTTATAAAGTACTCATCATTACGCATTTGCAAATTTCCACAAGATCACACTAGCCTTGCTCTATAATTGGTAGAACTTAACTAATTTTTGAAGAAGAAAAACATAATGAAGACATGTACAATAATTCATAATGTGCATTTAATACAGATCAGTTGGCATGAAATACCATTTGAAAATATTGGTGGGGGAAAATGAGTAAGCAGCAAAACAAAGTGACTATAGTGAAGCAGAAAGGGCACAGAGGTAGCTTGACAAAGAAAGAAAGAAAGAAAGAAAGAAAGAAAGAAAGAAAGATGAGTGCCTAAAATCATTTATGAAGCCTCACTGTGAAGCACTGAAGAACTGGGGCCTATGAGACAAAAACCAGAGTCATATAACAAAAAGAGGAAATGACAAAAGAATTCCTAGTGTTTAATATATTGGATTATATAGGTGGTTGGAAGGGCAGAGAGATAATGGCAAAATATGAGGCTGGATCGGAATTAATAGTACTGTTCATTTTGTAAACAGACTCGTAGATAAACTTTTTGCAAATCATGTTGCTACTTTATCTTTACTAATACCAAATGCTTCTGCCTTCTGTTCATTCCTTTTTTACGACAGAAGGTTGAAGAGTTTGTATCTCATTTCACTCTAAATAGGTATATTCAGCACATAGCAAGATTTCTTTACTACATTGCCTTCCTTATGTCTGCCTCTAAAATATGACATTTATGTTTGTATTAGGAAAAGGGTAGAGTCATGAGAGAGCAGTGGTACAATAATAAGCATTAACCTCTCAGTCACATTAATTGTTTCCCTTAGTTATATGCTTCCCTTTTCTCAGTTGTGGTTTATCAGTTCAATGTCTATTGAGGTTACATGCATTCTGAAAGGAATGTAGATATTTAATCTCAGTAACATTAATACTCAGCAGATCAAAAGACTGAAAGCTCAAGATTTTAAAAGAAATCTGTTTAATTCTTTTAAAAATGTGATTTCCTTCTAGTTACTTCAAGAGTAAACTTTGAAATACCTTTGTGAGAGTACAAAAAGTACTGTATAAGTGTGTCTCTAAACCATCATAAAAGGTTAAATTTACAAGGAGTTTTTATCTAGTGATCTCAAAGGACTTCACAAAGCCCATATTTCTTCATATGTAATAATGCCTTTTTTGTAGCTTTGAGCACTTTTATAGAAATATATATAAAAGCTAGAGCTAAAAGATAAAAATCCAGAATGTGAAGAATACTCTTCAACATTTCAAGCTTCTATGCCATAATTTCTACAAATAAATCATTATTGTTCACCAGAATATTATGAGCATGACAGCATTAGCTGATTTTTGGAGGGGAATATATAATGGCATTAGATGTGGCAATTGTTCCACATATTCCCATGTAAATCCAAATTATATCAGATCTGATTTATGATTTCTTCAGCAGCTCATATTTGAGGCTTTAAAGTTCCAGGGATGCTCACATTCTTATTATATTTAGAAGTACAGTGGTACCCCGCAAGACGAACGCCTCGCGAGACGAAAAACTCGCAAAACGAAAGGTCCGGGACCTCTTTTGAAGGAAGCGGCTGCGGAGAAAAGCGATCTCCCCGCAGCCGCTTGCTTCAAAAGGGGTCCGGGACCTCTTTTGAAGCAAGCGGCTGCGGAGAAAAGCGACCTCCCCGCAGCCGCTTGCTTCAAAAGGGGTCCGGGACCTCTTTTGAAGGAAGCGGCTGTGGAGACAAGCGATCTCTCCGCAGCCGCTTGCTTCAAAAGGGGTCCGGGACCTCTTTTGAAGGAAGCGGCTGCGGAGAAAAGCGATCTCCCCGCAGCCGCTTGCTTCAAAAGGGGTCCGGGACCTCTTTTGAAGCAAGCGGCTGCGTAGAGAAGCGATCTCCCCGCAGCCGCTTGCTTCAAAAGGGGTCCGGGACCTCTTTTGAAGGAAGCGGCTGCGGAGAAAAGCGATCTCCCCGCAGCCGCTTGCTTCAAAAGGGGTCCGGGACCTCTTTTGAAGGAAGCGGCTGCGGAGAAAAGCGATCTCCCCGCAGCCGCTTGCTTCAAAAGGGGTCCGGGACCTCTTTTGAAGGAAGCGGCTGCGGAGAAAAGCGATCTCCCCGCAGCCGCTTGCTTCAAAAGGGGTCCGGGACCTCTTTTGAAGCAAGCGGCTGCAGAGAAAAGCGATCTCCCCGCAGCCGCTTGCTTCAAAAGGGGTCCGGGACCTCTTTTGAAGGAAGCGGCTGCGGAGAGAAGCGATCTCCCCGCAGCCGCTTGCTTCAAAAGGGGTCCGGGACCTCTTTTGAAGGAAGCGGCTGCGGAGAGAAGCGATCTCCCCGCCGCCCCTTGCTTCAAAAGAGGTCCGGGGGCAGCGGGAAGCGCTTCCCGCTGCCCCCGGACCTCTTTTGAAGCAAGCGGCTGCGCTTCTCCCCGCAGCCGCTTGCTTCAAAAGAGGTCCCGGACCCCTTTTGAAGCAAGCGGCTGCGGCAATCTCCCCGCCGCCCCTTGCTTCAAAAGAGAAGACCCGCTGTCCCCGGGGCAAGCTTCGTTTTGCGAAGCAAGCCCATAGGGAAATTCGTCTTGCGAGGCAACTCGAAAACGAAAAAACCTTTCGTTTTGCGAGTTTTTCGTCTCGCGAGGCGTTCGTCTTGCGGGGTACCACTGTAATTGATTTTCAATGCATTCCTATGGGAAACCGTGCATCGCAAGACGAAAAACTCGCAAGACGAAGAGAATTGCGGAACGAATTAATTTCGTCTTGCGAGGCACCACTGTAAAGGAATAATGCTACAATACGCTGATCCTAAGATTTGTTGTACCATGTGCAAGAGCCTGGGCAGCGGAAGTATCAGGGGAGAAAATACTGGGTTGGATGGGAGAGAGATGAAGAGACAAAGTACATTCAGAAGGGAAGTTGTGCCTCTCATATTGACCCATCTGTCTAAAGCAAAGTTTATTTAACTTTTTAACTCCCTGCAACTAAACATGTTGACTTATAAGTAACAATGATTACAATAACATTTAAATCCAAGTAAATTTAGGACTGTAGACTCACTTTTTTTTAAATTATTCCTCTATCTGATTTCAGACAACCTCCTCCCCACTGCAACCCAATAAATCACAATGTTTATAGGTCATCATGGCCATCTTGAATAAATTTCAGCTGCATAGGGGGAAGCAGAAGCATGAGCGGAAAACAGTGGTCCACTGCATGGCCTACCTTCTGCTCACACAACATTGAACACAACACCATTATTAAGACACGTTTATTTCTCAGTCCTTTGGCATTGGAAACCTTTGGAGCCCCTGCCTTGCTCTGAAGGATTAAGGCAGTCCACATGAGAGACCCAGCATTATCCCCCAGCAGATGGAATAGCCAAGAGGGATCAGGAGGAACTATTTGGGGGCTGCTGCATTGGCTGCCTGTGGCAGGTGTCTCATTTCTCCCTAATAGGGCTGGCTCTGAAAATGTACACTGTGGGTTAAGAGAAAATGCTTTGGCCACTTTTT